TAAGAGAAAACAATAACTGCGATTGGAAGTCAAGCACTCTAAGCTAATTGCTCAAGTCATTGAAGAGATACGCTTGAAGAAACTCGTTGTACAGGGAGAGAAAGCAAAAAGGGGTACACTACAGCTTAACTAGCAGTGTACATTTCTTTTTCTTAATGAAAAAAAGAACTCATTCGTTTGCACGTGAGTGATTGTACATGCGAATGACATTCAAATTCACAGCAACCAAGAGATATAAAGTGACGATTACACAGCCACGAGATCGTGCTCTACTTATGTAAAAATAGATGGGAGCAGAACAAATCATATGCGAAATTTCTGTTATAAGCAAAATGCTAAAGAAAGATGAGAAATCCAAAGGAGTCCACGAGAAACCTCGTGTTCAGAACATCGCATTTTGGCGCCGTTGAAGCTGCAGTTCGATAATAAATCTTAGAACTTTGTTATATAGCGGATATTACATGATGGCGCGAAGATATGAGTTTTATTTTCGAGAGGTAAAAACGATATTTTACAAACGCAGCGAGTGAGAAGAATATTTTTTTAACCAAAACATGAAACAAAATTCATATCTTAATTCATATCTTAATTAAGTTACGATGGCAAAAGAAAAAGAATATTCAAAATTCATATCTCCGAGCCACTGTGTAATTTTCTTTATATTATGTAGACAAACTCATTGTCTGCACAGTCGGCTCGTTTGTGTGCCATAGCTCTGCGTCCGCCGAGCTGTTGTGCAAGTTTAAAGCATGACTGTAATAGAAATTAAGACAATTTTGCTAACAGATAAACCGCAAATGTAATAGCAAGATGAATCTTGAATCTTACGTTTGCAATCTGCCTTTGATTTGGATCCTGTGATGACGCTGGAGGAGTTCTTTGGACAGGGCTGGCATTCCGTTTTCCCCTCTTCGTCCTGATAGAAGCCAGCGTTACAATCTTTGCATATGTTAGTTGTGCCTTCGCTGTAGGTTCCTGGAGGACAGTTCACTGACAAGAACAGAACAAAAAATATCATTAACCACTAATAATATAATAATACGTAAAATTAAAATGAACGTGTTAAATTAACACGATTAACCTACGTATTTAATGAGGGTTTTTCCCACCCGATATTAAGCAAGTCAATCATGTTAATATAACACTTTCATTTTAAATTTCTGTGTTACATTACAAGACACATTGTGAAGTATATATGAAATAATTCATAATACATTCAAGACACATTGTTTTCTAGCCATTGTATTTTCTAGTGCTTAATAATATAATATAATAATAACATCGATAATGGTTTACTAATATGGTATCCATACATAAAATGGCTCTTAATCTATTACTAATACATTACAGAAACCAGCGAGGTTAAAACTCACTGAGGTACGTATAAACAGAAGTAGTCACGGTGGAAATTGAATATATACTAAGTTAGGAATATTTGCAATTAAAATACAGGATATAAAGGGATGATATGCCTTATATATAAGAATATTCATTTTGTTAAAGAAGCCACGTCACGGTTTTCCAATCTTGAAAAGTTAAGCCTAATTTTTTCCATTTCGTGGTTTGCAATCCTCGCTAATCTTCTCCATCCTTGTTCTTTTACGGTTTATTATTAGTATCTCTTGTGTTTTTTCTTTCTTATTTAACTACTGTTTTAAGGTTTCCTTCAATTTAAAGGTATTTTTGTATGTGGCCAAAATAGCTCAAAATATCATGAATGAGCCCCTTCAAAGAGTTCTAACGATGAGATCATAAGCATTACTGTAGGCATATCCCTTTAGGCTGAATATTTTCAACAACGTGGTAGAAGTTACGCAAATAACATTGTCTAACTTACATTTAATCATGAGATTTCTGATATTGTATGTAAACGCACATGTTGACATGAAAGTAGTCGTAATACTGTGAGTAATGTGTGAAAATGAATTCAATTTTAAACAGGAGTAAGTACAGCTATATCATTACTTGCGTAAGGTAAGCAACTTTAATTTCACTTACAGCAAATGGTCTGCAACAAAATGCTCCCGTCGTGGCAGAATGAGCCGTCGTAGGAGACGTACGCTGAGACAAAATGAAGCAGGTTTGATGGCTATCTCCTAAATAAGTGTGCTATATATGGGTCTTAAAGCACCATACATACAAAGTATGCAACACTTTTGAGTGCTGTACCATGGAATATCTCACGAGTCTTTAATTTTCTCAGTATACACAAGAGTTTTTGGTCGAGTGTTTATAGGCAATATACTGGTGACAAGTGGAATATTCCATGGTATACCACCTCAAAAGCGTTGGATAACTATTTTATACGTCATGTCATTGACTACAGCAGTTGGATAATAAATTTCTTATTAGATGTTTTGGTGTGTAGTATCGCTTTACATTTTTATTCGTTGTTTGTATTTTGACTAGCCTCGCCCTACGGGCTCGTCAAAATACGGGGCAACTAGTAAAAATATTAACCTCTTACTAACCGAGCGCGAGGGCCGTACTGGGGAATATTGTCCCGAGGTCGTGGCAGTAAGGACCGAGCGTAGCGAGGTCCGTACAAAAACGACCGAGGGCCAATATTCCTCAGTATGGCTCGAGCTAGCTAGGTTAGTAAGTAGTTTATTATATGGCACTCGAGCCATGCTTGTTTTGAATTTGCCGGCTTTCGAAAACAAAAAATATACAGCTTATGACCGTTTCTATGGAAACGGTCCGTATGGCGAAATCCCGACCAAGAAAGAACCAATCAGAACGCTCGAATTAACCTCAAGACTACCTTGCCATATAATGAACAGCTATACTACACACTAAAACCTCTAATAAGATATATGTAAGATGCATGAAATAGAAGATAACCAACTGGGAGAAGTACATGATAATGACGACAATCAAACTGCCTTCTGAAATCTTCGAAGGGGAAACTGGCGACATGACAGCCTTGAAACAAAATTGCAAAGTGCATGCGTACCATTTTCATAAACTGTCATCTATTGTTTCATGCAAGTGAGGCATACGTTAATACAATTAATCTGTTCTTACCCATACAATCTGGAGGCTTTGTTAAGATAGAGACTCGGTCATTTTGAGACACCCACTTGTTGCCCATACATCTGTAGTAAGGATTCTGGAATAGACCAGGTAATCCGGGGGGAGATGGGTTGAAGAAGTATCCAGGATTGCATCTCAACTGTAGGAACAAACCGAGCTTCATGGCGACTCCATTCTTGGGATGAGGAATTGTGATGCAAGTTGAGCCTATAGGATAAGAATTTCCAAACAAAATTTAATGTTTTGGGAAACAAAATTAAACAAGGAACTCAGTATGAACAAGCCAGGAAAACTACATGTTTACAAGTCATTTAAGATGTGTCTATTGTTCATCGGGGTGCAAGAAATTAAAGGAAAGATGAATTTACTCGTTTGTCTCACGATGGAGTCACTTTGAGATGTGATCGCATGCAAAAAAATCAACATTTTAAAATGACTCCTTTGTGAGACAAACGAGTAAAATTCATCTTTCCTACACGTTTAAAGTTTTATTTTATTTTCTCCCTGCTCTTTCTCTTAAACTGAGCTACACCTTGAAGATTGTATAAAATGAAAGCGTACCTAAAGGGAAAACTGTCACTTCCCCCCCCTCCCAAAAAAAAAACAAACAAACAAATAACCCCAAAAAAAAAACACGAGGAAGAAAGGAAAGAACTGAGAAGTGACGAAAGTTTAAGGAAGAAAGGGAAAAGAAGACTAAGGAAAGAAGACTAGATGTAAGGAGGGCTGAAAGTCAGACAGAAAGGAAGGTCAGAACGTAGGCAGGCAGGAAGGAAAGAAGAACAGCGGGCAGACAGGCAATGTATGGAGATAGGAAGGACAGGAAGGGACAGGAAGGAAACATGGTAGCAGAAAGCCAGGAAGTAAGAGAAGAAAGGAAATTACTAATTAAGGAAGTTTGGTGGAAAAGAAGGAAGGAAGGTTGGCACAAAGGAACGAAGGAAAATATGAACGAACACGAACGAACGAAAATGAGAATGGGAAGATAGACGGCCCAGCTATAGGGGCCCGTTTCTCGAAAGCCTCGGAAACTTTTCGGGCCCGTAAAGCCATTTTTAGTTCACCTGTATCTAAAAATGGAGGAGTGTATACGCCTGAAACGTCTTGTATGAAGGGAACCTCTGACCATATTAAGAATATGCGAATAAAACAACTCTGTAATCATAAGGTTTGAGATTTTCCTATGGCTTTCCGGTTGCGAAAACTTTCCGGAATCTTCGAGAAACAGACCCCAGTTGTTAAAATATTAATAAAGTGCCTCTAAATATCACCTACCTTCTAAAGTGATGTTGAAGATGCAATAAGCGACATTTCCTGCTGCGTCAGTAGCAGTATATCGTATTGTTAGCGAAGTATAAGTTTTCATCTCGAATCCTGGCTGACGATTGGATAGCACACTGGGTACACCTACATTATCAGTGAATGTTGGAGGTGTCCATGTGACCTTCTTTTGAAGAGAGTTAGTTTTATCTGAGAAGGACGTCGGACAACCTTGGACTGACGGCGCAGTCACGTCTGAAATCAAATAATGTTTTTATATTTGTTAAATCTACTACGTACAAATATATGTCTATAGGTCACGTCTTAACGAGTCCCGGGACCCGGGGCGTCTGGTGCCGTAATTTATGTGTTAGCCAGTGTGAAGACATCAATGAGGACACTACAGGTTATGCCCCAGCCTTTTTTTGGTGCATGGATGCCCCAAAAGATCACTGGAACCCTTTTATATACTCTTGGGTAAAGGGAAACGCTGCAAGAGTTAAATGTCATGCTGAAAAAGACAACGCATTGACTCTATTAAAACATTGCTTGACCACCCGTTCGATCCGTATTTCAACATGCTAAGCATTAGACCACTGTGGCATGCGTCTTACGTGAAAAACCCTAAACATATCAAACTGTCGTAAGCGTACAGATCGACTTTTTATCGATTTAACGCCAGTGCAATGTCGATGAGTTGCATTCAAAAATAACTCATAGTCAAGCCTACCATTCACAGTGACATAGAAGCTGCAACTCTTCTGTGTTCCACTGTCACTGGTTCCTATCCACGTGACCCGGTGTCTGCCAACAGGGAAAGGATAATTCTCATCATAGTTGCTAGGCGACACTGTCACGTTCTTCATATTGGTTCGTGGAAGCTGCCACTTGTATCCAAGCACCACAGTGGACTTGTCTGGCTCAAGTTCATCTACTCTGTCGATTGGACACGCGATCCATGGATCCGTGTAAACTGTAAAGGTAAACGAATTTAGGCAATCCGAGGAAGGTGTGAATAGAGTTGTAATCCTATTCGTCCTCCGTCTTCTACACAATCAGAAACCTCTTTGATGTATTTGTTCAAAAGTAACTTTTACTCATGTTAACAACCTACATTCATTGCAAAACAGCTATTAACGGGATTTATTCCAAGTGCCAGCGTGTTTTATATCTACATGTAAATTTATTGCAGGTCGCGACCCTGAATCGACTTGTTAACTGCAATTTTTTTTTATATAATAAGTCAAATTATTCTCGCATTTTGATTGGTTCTTACCAAGAGACGCTGGATCATCGTAGAGTAGAGGAAAATGAAAGGCTTACAAAAATAAAAGAAAATAATTCACAAACGTGAATTAATTTCTCAGTGATTTACTTATGCAAAAGCAGGTTCCTTGATCAGAAAGGTAAGCCATAAAACTAAAAGAAGTGTTCAAGAGTTATCGTGCGAGATCAATCCTGACGGTGTCCGGTTCAATACTTAGAGAATATTAGATCAGCAATATAGAAAAATGGGATTGGTTGATTTTAGAAATTCTTGGCCCTCTGAACTAACATAGTCGTGTAATAAGAAAAGATATCGAATGAAAAATTTGGACAGTCTGAGGAACTTTGTATTGCCCTCCCTGCATGAAGATTAACTGACCTCTTACACAGGAAAGTGGCGCCATCTCGCTCCATGAAGTGTCATCTTGACACGTAGTGTACCTAGGACCGCTGAGTGCATATCCATCGCCGCAATAGAAGACACACCGTGTCCCGTATTCGACGTCTGTTTGGGAGCATGACGACGGGACCACTCCACCATTGTAAGGTACAGTCAGCTTTGGACAAACGACCGCTGAAAAGTTCGTAAAGATAAAACAGTAAAAAGAAATGAATTGGATATTTCCCAATCTATCTAGAAACTGATCAAGCGTCTTGCCAAAAATATTTGAGCGATAATACCCAAAATAGCCTCCATTTCGCGCGAAAATATCCTCGGATATTCTCCCTTGAACATTTTCTGCTCCTCGAAGCTCACAGTTTTCCTCGAGCCTCACCCTCGGAAAACTGTTCGCTTCTCGGAACAGATAATGTCCGCGGACAAATATCCGAGCATATTTTGGCGCCAAATGGAGGCTATTGTTTATTTATGAAGTTTGTACATTTTCTAGTAACAAATGACAAAACTTAGACCTTTAATCCGCGTCTCTGAGTGGTGTAATACGAGCGAAAACTCTCTGAGAATGCGATGGAAACTACATTGGTTACTACTGCATGCAAGAAACACGCTTTAAGCACTTACGTTTACAGTATGGAACGTTTCCTTTCCACATTCCGTCTAACTGGCAAACCAAATATTGAGCTCCGCCCGCCAGGTAATGTCCAGCCACACACCCATAGGTGCAGACTGTGTTACGTCTGATATTTGCACGATCATCAGTGCAGGCTGGCGGGGTAATAAGGCCACGGAATGGGGCTTCCAACGGGGGGCAATAAATCTCTGCAAAACACACATTATCACATCAGTTGACTGTGAAAAATAATGATTTTAGTGTAGGGAATGGGTACATTTGTCTATAAGACCAGGGAAAAACATCAGGAAGAAAAGAGAAATGGCAACCAGGTCCAAATATGACGATCATACCACAATAATAATCGACGCCGGGCGATTCGAGTAGACGATCTAATTAAGGTGTGAGGACGGGAAAGAAGTTAAAACGTTCACTAATTATAGTTAATATAAGTTAATGATCATATCATACCTTCACAACTTTTGTCGTCATCTCTGAGTCGATAACCAGGCAGGCAGGTGCAGTAATATCCGCCTTCATAATTGCTGCATTTATGGTCACAGCCACCTTTGTCCGGTGAAGCGCATTCATCGATGTCTAACAGAAGCAATCAGCAAGTAATGTCAACACAGCTGATATAAGCTAAGTTCAGAGCTACCTTGAACCTCAATGTGCAAGGCAGCGTTGAATTCGAAAAGTAAGCTTAAAGGATTGGCCGTTCTCGCTCACGTGCGGTAGACTTGGTCATTTCAAGTTGTTTTCAATTTGGCAAAGAACGGCAAAGAAATGTACCAAGAGTTATTACGAAAATGCACAGCCATTGTTCTGCTCAATAAACGTTTTGTTTAGTGACTTTCCCGTTGCCGTCGCCTTTGTAATTTGCTTAAACTCCCTAACGACCAACAGAACCGACGCGCATTGAATAAGCGAGACGCTTAACCTAAGTATGTTTTCTTAAAGAATGTAATAGCTTTGTCCTTAACTATGATAGAAAATAGAACGTAAAATATGAGTAATGCTTAGAAAAGTGTATGACAATAATCATTCAAATAATGACAGCACACATGCACACACTGCTTACTTAAAGTTTACTTGCTATGGGTTCCCTTACCTTCACAACCCATTTTATCAGCTTTAAGTTTGAATCCTGCTCTGCAATCGCAGTTAAAGCTTCCTGCAGTGTTGTTGCAAACGTGTTCACATCCCGCGTTATTCAGGCTACATTCATTGAAATCTAATGAAATTGAGAACAACTAATATTTAGAACACTTAACGGAATAGTCGAGTTTCCAAAAAAAAATCCTTACATTTCAGTTAAAAAATATTATTTATAGTAGTAAAAAGACATGCTGTTTGGGGGAAGGAACCCGCGATCCTAAACCGGACTCGGGAAAGCAGCGTGAATCGGGCCTAAAATATTGATTGAGCTCCCCATGGCCATGCCACATATGTCTTTTAATTTGGCTTCTCACCTTCGCAGAGGAATTCGCTGTTCTCTTTAAGCTGGAATCCCTGTTTACATGTACATAGATAACTACCGGGAGTGTTGACACACAAACCATTGAAGACATCACAACCACCATTGTTGGCATGGCATTCATCCTTATCTAAGAAGATAACAGAACAAAACATGAAAAGGAACATGACTAAATTGATATGCCGATCAAAAGCTCTTCCCCAAACTGATTGACTTCTTCTACATGTCTAGATTATCGTGTAACTATAAATAAACATGTTAATTTGGTTCCAAATCTCTGATGAGATAGAGTCAAATTTATCGCATTCATCAGAAAAAAATTAGTAAACCCTGGTTTCACCAAAGTTTCTGTCCAGTGTGAACGATATAAAAGCTTTTATGCTAACGACTTACCCATGCATGTCTTGCCATCGTAAGCGAGAGTGTAACCGGGCCAGCAGCCACACTTGACTTTCAGGTTACACAGGTTATAACAAACCTGTTGACAGCCGCCATTATCAAGCTGGCACAGATCTGCCAAGGCGCCTGTACACGAAGAAAAAACGACAGACGGTGTTAATATCTCTACAGTACATAACGGCATCAGACTAAGTTTAAAACGTTTATAGTTAACTTTCTTGAAGTAACTACCTTACCAAAAGGTAACTGTTTTCTCATTAAAACACGTTGCAAGTGGATGAGTCATACCGCGACTTCACACTGTATACATGTAAGCGTCACCCTTTGTAATTAGATGCAGTGAAACCTGCTTATAGGATCCTATTAATAAAAAAATCTTTAACTGTTGGGCTAAAATTGTGTACCGGTAATTTAAACTCCTATAAAAGAATCGTTAGAACAACAACAACAACAACAACAACAACAACCATTTATTTGTTAGAGCCCAATATTTTATTAAAAAAAGACCACGCCCACATGGACTAGTCGTTGCACCCACTGAGCAAGCGCCTTTTCTTCGCAGAAAAGTAAAACCAAAATAGCCTAAATTCACAGTGGACATTATTATATGATAACACTTTACTAACTCTAAAAATTCTAGGTTCTCATACAAAGGTCTCTTTTGTAAGAAAGGTGCTAATCTATTAACGCATTTTGTCTACAAACTCTAATGCAAACTTTGAATAGCATTTCATAGAAGACCATTGGGAGGGGGAGGGGAAGGAGAGAATAACACCTCTGTGTTCACCTGTTGAATCTAGCTAGATCTGGGTACATGTCTGAATCTAGTCAAGAGAAGAACTATCTTTCAGAAACTAGTTTCAATTAAAAAAAGCGCTATCAACTTTTCGTAGGGAAATTTGCCTTCTCCAAGAGCTGACAAAGGATAAAATGGCGAGAAAGTCCTCTTCATAATGGCCTGTTCAAAGACGACCAAAGACAGCACCTCTTTGTCAACAAAGAAGAGGCAATGATTTGTTTGTTCGTGTGTTCATTTTTGGCTTTTAAACTGCACTTACCAACTCTGGAGTAGACCGTCACCTCGCACATGGTCAGAATTCCTTCTCCAAACATCTGCACTGACACGTATCGTCCTGGGATTGGTGGATCACACTGAACTCTCAGAGCTTGTCCCTGGCCCACAGTCCTCACACGGTCGTGACATGTTGGGTTCTGTAAGTTGTCTTTATTGACGCCAACTCTGACGTCAAAGTTTTTGAGTCGTTCAAAGTAGTTATGACGATTTACTATCATGACGTCTGGTAATAAAGAAAATCTAGTGATAAGGTGGCTTACTACATTTTCAGGAAGTAAAACTGCTTTTCTAACTCTTATGATAATGTTCCAAAAATGTTTACATAAATTTCTCTAATCTCTATTTTAATTGGTAAGTCTTTAACAATAATACGCGACACTTGGACAATACACTCATTTTATAAACAGGAAAGAATAATCAAGTGTTTAAGTGGCGATTCAGCACTAACATTGTTAATGACTTCTTTCTCTAGTCTACCCTTTACCTATTATAAAAAATATCTCAACATCTTTTATTCTATTTCATTTGCGAATAGACCACTAATTCATGCAAACATAAATAGTTTTGCATTTGAACAACTAATTCATCAATGGCATCAGTCGGTCTGCAACCGTAATTTAGTATTACGGGAAAAAAAAAAAAGGTCCCAATTAGTATACGTAGTGTCAACAGGTCACTTGTCACGCACATGTCACGCACCTGTCACGATGTACTCCCTTCCCAGATCAACCCTCCACCACGGGTTCATTTCCTTCTTGGTTTGTGTGCAAGACTTGTCATCATAGTAAGTGGAATAGTTTTCATCAACAGCTCGGCCGCTGAATCCATTGTAAGCGGTACTCGACTGTTCTGTCTTCTTCTTGTGAGCAAGATCTATAAAAGAAAGGTTTAGATCTGTAATTTACCCGGTAAAATGAAATGTTTAGTAAAAAGATAAAGATGCTTAGCGCTGCTGTGCTTATTGGGACACGGTACGTAACTAAAAGACGAACTGTTGCAAGCTGCACCTAACCTTTCTCGACTGATGAGGGGCTACTGTGAAATCTGTTTGACCTTCACAAAGAGCAGCGGAGGAATACTTGAACAAAAATTAACCCAGATAGTGGCAAGAAGTCTAATTTGTCATCATTCAAAATAGATTAATGAAAAGATTCCCCGTATTAGCCTCAGTTGCAGGCTAGTTCCAGTCCAGTACCGAGAATATGAAACTGGTCTGTTAAACACACGCGTCCTCGCCGCACCCTTCTTACGCTGCTTACGCTGAAGTAAAGCTGATAAAAGAGCTCGGCGTTTTGAAAGTTCCTGCTGAACGTATAATCAAAGCGAGTCTATACATCACGTTTGTGAAAGATTATGAAAATTTTCGGAAACTCGAGAACACCTTGATTCTTTCACTTTTAGAAGTGAAAAATAACAGTTGTAGTTGTAATAACTTTTCACTCGCCTATCGTAACTATGAAGATATGAAACTTACTTGCAGCGAACTTGCTACAGACGCTTACAATCGGTTCATCCACGACCTCAAACCGCTGATCCAGTCTTGCTTGATCAAAATATGTACACTTATCAAGATGGACGTGCGGGTCGGCTGTAGATAGGAAATACAGATGAGATATTAAGTAACAATGGCACACTCTTCAATAAATTTAAGACTCTTTGATGATTATATTCTAGTTTTTCCGAAACCTCAAGGCATATGCGCCACGCCTTTATACCTTTAATATAAATAGGCGTGTGTGTATAAGAAATGAGTAAGCGGCGAGTTAACAAAAGAAGGGAGTGTAGTACTTACTGGGAATAAAGCTGAACAAGAGATGTTCCTTGTTTAATGAACTGTCACTGTTTTCACACTTGCTGCTCAGAATTAAATCCTCGCTGTTCACTGGTATCATTTTCTGAAAATTAAGCATTCAACACTCAGTGCTAGTAAATTAAAAGTGACACACTTAACTTGAGTAGAATTAGACTTCGAAAATGCCTCAATATGCATTGACTCCTAAACGCCGTCCTTTGGCTCGCTGAGGAACTTCCCACGACAGAAGTTATTTTTGACAATAACCTGGCAAAGTGGGAAAAAAGTAGTGCGAAGCAGAACGCAAAACAATACCATTGGCCCAGTTTATCCCATCGTGCTCATTTATCGCCCCGAATTAGACTTTTTCTAATTCTATTGACGCACAATGGCGACTGAAATGCCAAGTTACAATTACGAACGAAAAAACAAAACGCCAAAAAAGCGAAAATCCTCAGAATTTCTAAAATTTATCTCGCGAGCTCGCCCCGATGTTCGATCGAGGTGTTTTGAGAGTTTCGCTGCTGTTTAGATCTTGCGATCACAGGTGGTAATAGGAAAAAGTTTTGTTTTTTTAATTACCATTTTATTGGAAAACTCCCAAGTATCAAATGGTTACGAACAGCAACCCTCCTTCTTGAATATTGTACCTTTGCATATAAGTTTCCTTATACTTACCCCTGATTTTGTGTTGACACACTTTTTGCTTCCAACGTGTTGCAGTGACCCTCCGTTGGTGAAACTGAACTGATGTCCTTCACACGTCGAAAATAAACCGAGGGTGACACCATCATTGACTGCTCCTACTGGCTGCACACATTTTCCACTCTTTGTGTGTTTCAGATTGCCATTGCTAAGGATAAACTCTAATCTGCAGTTAACAGAGATACCAAGTTATTAAAAAGATCTATGAATTTTTGTCAACACCCAGACTAGTTGTATTACCTGCTCTCACTACATCCGCTATGTATGAGTAGCTTGGTGCCTTCTGCAACATTGTTCCCTCCCCCCTGTGGATGAATGCACTTCAAAGAGCCAAGATGGACCAAAGAACCAGGACCATTTAAGCTTGTCGTACCTGAGGACAAAAAATATATTCATAAAATACCTACGTTTACTTTTTAGAGTTACATGATCGCGCTGTAACGTTCGCTGTGGTTGACATGTAAAAGCATCAGCTCTATGCCTAAGTAATACACGCATATTTTCAAGTTTGAGTCTTCGAGAACTCTGTCTTTCCTATATAAACGTCTGCGTTTGCGTCCTCCAGTCTTTTCCCTCTCCTTCTAAAGGCGTCTACGAGTCCAAAAAGGGAAATTCTATACGGATAACGTTTCTCTTCACAGGTTCCTGTAGTGTCTCTGATTGGTTCGGTTTTGAATTTCCCGCGCAACTAACGGCCCCCGTGAGGACTCCTATATGGAAAAGTCAGGGGTGGTCGTCGGAAAATTTGAATAAGACCCCTAAAGGAGACCAACCTGGGTGTGGTTTGAGCTTTATTTCACCGGCTAAAACATAACACTTTAAAACGGACATGACAGCGTTTTTTTTTCTTCTATTACTTTCGCTTCTCGTCCAACCCTAAAAGATACCTTGACAACCAAAAATCACAAGTAGCAAACCCTTGCGTGAGGCCAAAACCCCACTCCCCCNCCCCCCCCTCCACCACCACCGGTCTAGCAGCCGAGAGAGAAAACTCAGATCTCTGTAAAATCTATATTAGTATAGATTTTTTTAAAAGAATGTTTTAGGTCGAACCTTTGATCTCAGGCTGTACAGTCGTTTTCAAAAATGTATTTAGCGTTATAAATCGGCGAGATGAAAAGACAGCTATAATCACTATGGCTTTCGGTTTATTTTCCTTCTTCTCGTAATTTTTCTTTATCGATTCTTACAGTAATTTTTTGACTATTTTTTTTTTTGATTGCAATGTAGAAAAGGCGTTTTAATTATTTTGCCACTCACCGACCGTCCAGCACTGGTTAGCTCTTCTTCTCTTAATGGATCTGACCGCTAAGTCACACTGAAAGTTTTGATCATCCTGCTTCGGGTCACACTTGGTTTGTATGAGCTTTGAACCCTGTGTAGCTCCGTTTGTATCGATACAATGTTTAGACCAAGAGTTCTGTTAATTTAATATAAAAGATAACCCACGCAAACGTTAGTTGTGTCGTATCACTCACAACTCCAAATCATCTCCATCGCTCGCTGGTTGCTGCAAACATTGAAAGGGTGGCAACAAGGTTTGTTCAATCAACGGCTGAAGGGACGGAGAGCCTTTCATTTGAATTTTACGGTACCGGTTCCTGTAAAACTCAGTCAGGCATGCACGAAATATCTCTTCGAAAAAGGTAACTTCCAGACTTATCATTATTTTCCAGACTTACCATTATTTGCCCTTTAAGAGTGTACACCCAATTCTGTTTCTCATCTGTTTCATTACAACCTGTTACTTTAACATAGGCGCCATCTGTCTTGGAGTCCACGTACAAACAGGGTCCACGTCTGTCATCTGTCGCCGATTGCTGATTCTCTATCAAGAATATTTCTACAAGCACAAAAAAGTAAAGTTCTCAGCAAAAAGCAGATTCAAGAACAATTACCAATAACTGATAGTTTTTAACAAGTAGATAATTAACGATGAAGACGATAAATTTCGATTGCATACATGACCGTGCTGTAATAATACCAAATTTGGTGTATGATCAGTTACAGCTGCATCGATCGGTTCTGGTTGATACATTACGAACAAATTGATAGTGAGTGTTAAGAAAACTCAGCCTTGGCACCAAACGTGGTAATGTAGTTAAGTCCATAAGCTTGAATACTAGCGGAAAACGAAACAGCGGGAGGTCTAGGCAATCCATAATTGATTTGGGGATTCTGTTGGACAGAACTAGACTTACTAAATTCGGTGGACATGGTAATCGATGAGTTGTAAGTCTGTAATCAACTTATCCGTCATTTTGTATTGTGGTTGATTGATGTGTCGACGACTTATCAATGACAGAAAAAGTATGTGGCCAGTCGATTAGTCATCGATGCCTACACATTGATTTCACGATCCGATGATTTGAGGACTCATCGCTATACTGCACATCTATTACGAATTTACGTTCTATCTAATTTTCAAAGTGAACCCCTCTGTATTACGCGAGTATGATTACAGACTGAATTGGAGGACGCGATGTCCTGTTACCAATTAATCATAACCATTACAATTTCCCACAATTTGAAAAAATAACTTTTAATAGTTATTTTTAAATATCATAATTAAGAATTTGGGAATAGCTTGCAAAATGGCTGTCAAGTTTCTTTCAAAACAGTCACCAGAAACTAAACCTCCACAATTTTACAAAGTCAGTCTCTTGAATTGGTTACTATAGTGACTGTCATCAATGTTGTAATCGGTGGATTTGGTGGAGAGGACTCATGATTGGCTCATGTAACTGTCCGATTACAGGTGTCCGATTATAGCCAACTGTCCGATTACACTGTCCGATACAACTTTGCAGATAAATTAGAGCAAAATACACCAGTTTATGCACCAATCACATTTGAGGAAATTGATATTGTTATGGTTATATCGAGTTAATTTAGAATCGTACCTGACATTTCAAAGTCAGCAAACGGATTAGGAGAGTCGTAGTAATTCTTTTCTGTATCGGTCGGATTCTTGGGGTTCATCTTATCCTTGTACCACTCTGTAGATTTATCGGCCCCAGTCCTCAGACTTCCTACTGGATCTTTCAGGTTAAAACCCAGAGCAAGGTAAAGGCGCTTTCCAAATATGGTCAGGTCAACAGCTGCGTTGAAAATGAAGTTGCTGTTCCCTCCGTTTGCGTAGGCTGCCAAACCGAACTCGAATTTGATGCTGAGTTCAAATCAAAACCAAAACGATAAGATCACACGGTACAATACAATTAAATATAATCGAATACAACAAAATATTAACCTGATTATGTGCTCAAACTAGGTAGGAAAGCTCAAAAATAAGAACCAAGCGTAAAACAAACGAAGTGAACGAACGAAAAAATAAATGAGCAAAACATACAAAAAAACCCCAGAGATCCAAGGTATACAGTCAGAAAAGAAATGACAAAGAAAAAGATATACTAACAGACAAACATGCAGAGAGACAGACAGACAGACAGACAGACAGGCAACAGAAAGACGTGTCATAGACAGCTCACAGACGGATAGGTCGCAGACAAGTAGAAGCAGTTTGAGGGAAGAGCTCGTTGCGAGTTTAGTCGATGTCTTATTTGTACCATCAAAGCGAATAACCTGGTTTATTTACCTGTGGATTCTAAACAGCTGAGTCAGGATAAAGTTTATAGCCTTGCTAACCCAGTTACAAGCCATCTCAGTTAACTTCAAAAAGCCAACGGCTACGTCGAGTATGTTGCAGAGACCCTTCCCGATATGCTCTACGGCCTTACAAGATCCATAGCAGAGGTGAGACACCGCTGAGGAAAAATATAAAAAAGAATTACTACTCAATGCCAAATTGTAAATACAAAGAATCTACAAAGTATCGAGAGTGTAAGGTTTTGGAAACTATAACTTGAACGTAGACAAGTTTTTGAGAGGTGATGTGGATGAAACCTGGAATCATTGGCCTGAACAATCGGTGCCATTTTGTTGATGGTCGTAATGGTGGCGTCTGGCTAAATGATGTTAAAATTGTTTTCACATATCACTGTGACTCCATCGAAAGCCACCGAGATGGACAGTCTTTTGCTAATACCTGAATCGTATAATTACTTCTTTGTACTATTCCCTCACTTTTCTAATGCATCCGTTTTGAGTTATTGATTTTAATGATGGATAATTAAGAACCCGAGGGTTTACTTTCTTTTCTGCGGCAATAAGCACGTTTTGTAAGCTTTGCTTTAGGTAGCATAATGTGTTCGAAAGCGGTGTTATGATCACCAAACGTTTTTCCGATCCATGCAAATGCCAACCGGGCTGAGTTAAAAAGAAAAGAAGATGATTAACTTTTCAACGAAACAATAAAGAAATTCATGATTGAAAAACGTTACTCTGGTTTAAAAAATGTAAAAATGTTAGTTAAAAATTTTTGTAAAAGTCCCAACGTTTCGGCTAAAACTTAAGCCTTCATCAGGGGAAAGGGACAAGGAATTTGTAAAAAGGCACGTTCTTATACTATGCAAATCAGCAAATCGGAGCTAATTATGTCCTGTTCCTTAGG